AAAAAAAAAGTCCCATGGATAATATCATTTTTATGCTTTATTTGCAATTATAAACCAATTTCATATTTTCTTATAATAATAAAAAATTCAAATGATGTAACAACCATATAAAGGTGAATGTCTTATCATTTATTGTGGAGGAAATTGACAGTTAGAAGAAGTGGTGTGCAAAATGCCATGTAATTGTATATAAGAATTTTCATTTTTGTATAATTAATTTAAGTGTATTTGCAATTAATAATCCTAGTAACTTCTAGAAACAGATAGCACAATCAATAATATTCAGAGTATTAGGATATGTTTGGTAAGTCAAATAAGCTAGCTTATAGCTTATTTGGTTAGCTTATAAGCTCACTGTTTAAAATAAGCCTCGTTTGGTAGGACGAACTTTTTTAAAAAGCTCGAGCTTATTTCATAAGCTACTTTAGGTAGCTTTTCAAATAAGCTAGTTGAATTTTTTATTTCAGCTAGCTTATCAGCTAATTTACCAAACACCTTTTATCATATAAGCTAGCTTTTCAGCTATAAGTCATAAGCTATAAGCTATAAGCTCAAAAATTACATATAGGCTATGTTTGTTAAATGGCTTTTCAACCACAAATTAGCTTTTTGAGTAAAATAGCTGTTTGACTTTTGAAATCTTCAATTTTAAAATGTTTGGTTAATAGCTTTTTGAAATAGCTTTTTTGATCTAAAAGCTGTTTTTCAAAAAGCTACAAATTGAAGCTTTTTCAAATAGCTTTTTGAAGAAAAAAATACAAAATGTCGTATTTGCCATTAATTAACTCTACTACATTAACTTTACCCCATATTATTTTAACACATTAACATACTTGGGTTAAAAATCAAAGTTAGCTTAGAAAATAGATTTATATTTTATTACATTAATATATTGGGTTAAAAATAAAATTGAGATTATAAATGAACTCAAATTTCTTTAAATACTCCATTCACATTTGAAATTAAGTGAATTAGGTGTTTTGTAAAAATAAAAAAAAAAAAAAGATTGAGTGATAAATTATGTGCAAATTTATAGAGGAAGAGTAAGATTAAAGGCTGATTATTGAAATGCGAATTTTTACATTTTATGTTTTTTATTTTATTTTTTATTTGAATATTTGTTATCATGTCAAATTAGAATCTTCATCACTTTTTTCACTTCACAATTATATATTGTTATTTCTTATTTGTGTTATGTTATTTTAAGCCGTTTTACAAATATTTTACAAATATTTTAAATATAAGTAATAGTTATTTTCTATATAATTATAATTTTAAATAAACAAGAATATAAAAGAATAGATGTCCATATAAGTAATTTTACATGTTAACAGCTGATTAAAAATAGTTAATTTACCAAACACTCTTTTGGAAACCGCTAAAATAATCCGCTGGTCAAAACAGCTAACACCATCCGCTAGTCAAAACAGCTAATGCAATCCGCTAACAGCTAACAGCTAACCGCTGATTGCCAAACAAGGCCATAAGCTATAAGCTAGCTTATCAGCTATCAGCTAGCTTATCAGTTAGTTTTACCAAACATAGCCTTAATCAACTGTACAATACATCAATGCGTAATATTCAGAGTATTAATTAAAGAGTTCAATAAATAAATAATATTCAGAGTATTATTAATCAACTGTTCAATACATCAATGCGTAATATTCAGAGTATTAATTAAAGAGTTCAATAATAACCCCACTTAAATAATACTTATTTCACTAAATTGTGATGATTTTTGGCCTTCTGCATTTTAGTAACTATCGTTGTTCTTTTTATGGTTAGTTCGTGTATTTAAGTTGTAACGTCCATTATATTTGTTTTATTTGAATCATTTGTTCAATGTTATATTTCACTAGTAATCATAATGCGGATTAAATTAAATACTATAAGTTATGTATATGCGAATATAATATTAAAAAATAAAATTAAATAATGTATGTACTACGTCGAGATTTGATCATTACTAAAAAAGTAAAATAAAGTATTTAAGTATATATGAATTACGATGTTGATTGAAAAAAATGTTTCTCATGACTGTAATTTTTATAATTTTAAGAGATCATGATCAATTAATTTAGTTAAAAAAGTATTATTATTATATTATTATTATTATTATTATCATTATTATTATTCTATATAATGAATAAATATAAATGATTATAGTTTTAGCAT